TGGCGCCCATGAGCTGGAGTGTGCGGGTGGCAGACTGCAGCCACCGAGACATGCGTATGCCTGTACCGTCATACAAGGCAATGTCCGACAAGCGGATGAGTGGTGCGCCACCGTTTTGGCRGCGAGGGGATCGAGGAGCGGAGGCCTGTGCCACGGCTGAGTAAGTCGGCGCAAATCCTGGAGAAAGGGGCGCAGCTGACTGTGCGCCCGGGCCGCATGGGGGAGCGGCGGTGGCAACAGCGGCAGGCTGCGAGGGKGCTGCGGKAGAAGAGGTCGCAGCAACCGCGGGAGTAGGAAGAAGGTAGGAAGGAGTTGTATAGGGTGCAGGGCGCGGAAAGCGAGCCTGCATGGGAGRAAGGGTAGAGGAGGTAGGGGGTGCGCCCGAAGGCGCGKCCACCTRTGAGGGTGGGGGTGGCTGAAGGCGTAAGAGGGCGAGGTTGGCCCGGAGCTGGGCAATCTCGTCCTCGAGACCTCGAACGTAGGTCGTGCGAGGGGTAGCAGGGGGAAGAGTGGAGGAAGTGGATGCACAAGCGGCGCGGGGCATCCCGGACGGGGGAGAGCCAGGTGGCGCTGCGTTCGTGCGAAGGGGGGGGAGGAGCGGGGCACCCGGAAACGTTGAGACCATGGTAACGGGTTGTGGTCCCGTGGCCGTCGTAACCGGAATTTGGGCCGGTGCTTCCGTAGACTGAGGAAGGGCCTGACTCGTGGCGGCCGTCAAGCTAGGGGCGTGGACGGTCACCAAAATGGCCGGGTCGGGGGCGGCAGAGGAGGAAACTCCGYCRTGGCCACCCTGTCGGAGAACTGGGGACCCGGACTGAGAGCCAGGAGAAGAGAGAGGATGAGGAGAGGAAGGACGACCAGCGTCCTGGAGTTGCTGCACGCCGGCGCCAAGGGTCGCCACCTACGCCTGTAAGGGCCCGAGGGTCGCGAGTTGCGCCTGGATGGGCACGAGGGTCGTGAGTTGCGCCTGGATGGGCGCAAGGAGGGAGGTGAGGAGGGTGTTTAGATCCCCCTGGGGCTGATGCCCCTGGTCCGCCGACACGGGTGTGGAGCCCGATGTCGTGGTCATCGCCGTGTCGACGGCGTGTGACGCACCGTCGGCCATGGGGAGATGACGGACCGGACTGGAGGGGGCCAGAAGAGGTCCGCGTGAGCGGAGGGCGTAGGGGGAAGTCCGCGGTAGAAAGCGGCGAACGGCGCTAGCAAGGCTAGCACGGGCGCCGTCAAAGGGGGAGGGGTGGTTTGGGTCCAGGGTGCCCGAAGAGGACGGGGAAGTAGGGGGGGGGTTGAGGAACCCTAGACCCTACAAAACCCTTAAGAAAACCGTAACCGAGGTTTAAGGCTAGGATAGGGTACCGGTGACCTAATCAAGAAAGAAAAATAGCAAGCATAAGGGGGGGGGGAGACGGGAGAAAAATAAATGAACAGCGAGATTTCGAGAGGAAATAAAATAAATAAGAAAATAAATAAATAATAAATAATAAAAATAAGTAAAGAAATAAGTAAAAAGATGTAAAGAGAAACAATATTTATTTTTTTGAAATTTTTGGCAGCATTTCCCTACCCCCCACGGGATCAAGAATGTGCCAAGGGAAAAGGAGAGACCGAGGTGTGCACACTAGAGATACCGCAAAAAAAATAAATAAATAAATAAATAAATAAATAAATAAATAAGTAAATAAGTGTGTGAGGAGGTGGGGAAAAATGGGTTATCTGATTTTTCAAAAATTTTGGCAGCATTTCGTTGCCCCCATGGGGTCGAAGTGTGCCGAAAAAACTAAGTAAGAGAAAATCAGAAAATTTCGGCAGCACTTCGTTAACCCCACGGGGTCAAAACGTGTGTCAAAAGCAAGAAAGGTTAACACCTAATCAGATTTAGGGTTGCCGCCAATAATTTTTAGAATAAGTAAAAATAAATAAAATAAATCGAAAAAATAAGAAAAGAGGATGGGGAATAAGATGAGAAAACTAACAACTAATCAGATTTAGGGTTGCCGTAGAGAAAATCGAATTTTTTAGAATAAATAGAAAAAGAAATTAAATAAATCAGAAAATGAGAAAAGAAGGTGGGAAAGAAGATATTTCGAATTTTTGAAAAAAGAGAAAAGATAAATCAAAAGAGAGGTGGAAA